AACAGCACCTGCCACGCAAGCAATTATTATAGTTAACTATGTGGGTCGTTTTAAAGAAAACAGTAAGGGGTTACTTAAATACTACGCTTCAAGTTCTAATTAAAATACAACGCTAGCTAAGCTAACAGTCTCAAATAGTCTTTTATGTCACCAGAAGCCCAAGAAAATTTCATTGTCAGGGATTGGTTAGTCTGCTACACAGCCGTTTTTAGTGTCGTCGCGCAACGCTCCTCCCCACAAACGGCTGCTGAAAACCGAACCACATTCCTTTCCCGCGGTTAGCCAATTAGCATTCAGTTCCCATGTTCTGGAAAGTGTTCGCGCCAGAAGTTTCATCCAATCAGAGCCTTGCTTTTACCGGTACCCTAAATGTGGACAAAGCAAAGCAAAATGGCCGCCCTACAGGAAGCATACATTCGAGTGGCTTCCTTATTTGAGATTTTGGAACTAAATGCGCATCAGAAGCGGGCAATTCAAGCAATTGTGGTCGATAAGAAGGATGTCTTTGTAAACTTGCCGACTGGGTTCGGAAAATCGCTTATTTATCAATCTGTCCCGTTCGTGTTTGACCATGTAAACAAGAGTGCAGGTCACATTGTTGTAGTTGTGTCGCCATTGGTAAGCCTCATGGACGATCAGGTTAAAATTCTGACAGATCTTGGATTGTCTGCAATAAGTATCAGTTCACAAGAGGAGTTAGACGTTACAAAGATTGAGAAGGGAGAATATTCTATTGTCTTCGGCTCACCTGGGGCATGGCTAATGAATGGTCGCTGGCGAAGAATGTTAGACAACCATGTCTATTCGAATAAGCTCTGCGCCGTGGCAATTGATGAAGCTCATGTCCTAAGGCAGTGGTAAGTTTGGGTGTTAGCCTTCTAGATTCTCTGTCAGCTTAAACAATAGTTTCTCTGCTGCGATCAAAGTTCACTGTTTTCAGACATACGTTTAAGTATTTTCTCGATTTTCGCATGTAACTTGCTCGTTGAAACTATCTTAATGTGTTATTAAATATCATATTAGATAGGGAGTGTCTGCCAGAGACCAATTTTAACTGAATTTGCTATTTTTGAACGAGCATCTCTCGTTAAATTATGTTAAACCTTTACGGTCAGGTCAGTGGGAATATTCAAGATTTTCTCTCTCTTGTGATGACAGGGGGATATCCCAAGACAGTAAAAAAGCAGCTTTTCGCGAGTGTTATGCCCATCTTCATTACTGAATGAGCTGAGGAGGGTGCTAACGATAATGTTTTTCTCCATTTTAGGACATAATTACGGGCAACAAATTCTACTCAACCAACCGAGGTGATTTAGACATCTCTTTTCCGACCATTGTTTACACTGGGACTCAAACCCTTCATCCTGTCTGCCCCAAAGAGGTCACTGACATCAGTATAGTAACACTCATCGCTTCCCAGTCCGTGTGTGAGGATATGCTGAAGTCCCTTGGAAAAGGAAAATACAAGGCTGTCACCTGCTCTGTCGGTACTTACACAAGAACTTCAGTCGATACATTGCTAAATATCCACAAGCTAAGAGACATTTCACAAGGGGTAAAACGAGAGTTGAAATGGCTGAACATCACACCACCCCTTCCTAACAGTCAGTGTGTACAACGGGGATTCTTGGAGAGTTTGAAGAAGCTCTTATTTGAAAATAAGAATGATCGAGTTGTCATTGCTCACCTGCAACAACTGCCATAACATTGCCACAACACAAGGTTTCATAGATCTCCTCAATGCCAATGACTGTACCATGGAAACTGCAGCATTTATTCTCAACGATTTACTGCAATTAAACCAAACAGATAAACTAAAATATGCACGTACCGTTAGGCACGGTAGGGCCATCAACTACATCATCTTCGTCATTAATTTTGCCAGTAACATTAAACATGTGTCGCGACACCTAACAACCCTGAATGCCACTGGTCCCTGCTATACATAGATGCAGTGGAAAACAAATGGTTTTACTGCGACTTCCTTGGCTGGGTACCTCCAACTGACCTGAACTCTAAAGTTGAGTTCATCCTCAACTTATTTTCACAAGAGTTTACCTTGTTCAGAAAACCAGCACACGGGAGATTTATTGCACACAAGCTACAAGGCAACAGCGCTGTTGCCCACAAATGCATAGACGCCTGTTTCCAAAACATCCCCTTGCAGTCCTGTGGTAGCATTTGTGGCGTAATTGTTGTTGCCACGGGGGCCATAAGCTGCATTAATTCCACCTTGTGGAGATCTGGCTTTCTTGGAATCAAAAGTTCTCTTCCTGTAGAAATTTCATGGATAAAGAATCCTACATTGCACTCCTGCTACTTGCGAAGAGTCCTGATCCACTGGATAACTGCACAAGATATTGATCTCCAATTGCTTGGGATCAAGCCCTTCGTACCAGAAAGTCAGTCCAATAGAAATCGACTCTCCTCGAGTACATATGAGCAACCTGTGCTAAAAACTTCAGATATCGACGGTCGATCTAACTCAAGAATCATCACAGGATAGAGAGGAGGTGGCAGATCAGGACCTAGCAAAGCAAACAGAAGAGAAGGAACCAGCTCATGAGGCAGATCGGAAAGCAGGTGAGGCGGCACCCTGTGAAGCAGAAGAGAAGGCAGTGCAAGGAGCAGGTCAAGAGGCAGATGGGGAAGCAGCCGAGGTGGCATCACGCCGAGGTGGCATCATCGTGTGAACCAACAGAGGATACAGTGCAAGCAGAACCAGCTCAGGAGACAGACCTGGAAGCAGCCGAGACAGCACCCTGTGAACTTACAGAGCTGACAGGGCAAGAGCCAGCTCAGGAAGTAGATCGGCAAACAGTTGAGGTGGCTCCAAGCGAACTAGGGAGATTGGGAAGCAGCACAGGTGACACCCTGTGAACAAGCAGAGGAGGCAGTGCATGGATCAGCACATGGGGTAGGTGGGTAACAGCACAGCAAGAAGGTAAGAGACTTGCATAGGCACGTCGGGATGCAGCAAAGCAGGAGCTAGTTGACAGGACAGATGAGGAGCCAAAATCAGGGGAACACTGTCCAATAGAAAAGGAGGCATTATCGGAACCCAGACAGGATGCAGATTGGAAAGCAGCAGGGGAACAAGGGCAGGAAGGCCATGGAAGACCAGCGAAGGAGACAGATCACGCACCTTTTCAGGAGGCAGAGCAAGGAAGATGCGATAAAGCAACAACGACAGTAGCTCCGAATGGTTTCCAGTGTCCCTCCTGTAACCTGACCACTTCTGTCAAGTCAAATCTAAGGCGGCACATAAGGCGGAAACATAGAAATCAGATGCACGACCCTAGTACCCAGGGGTGTGGAAAGTGTCTGTGCCTGCAATGTCAGTTCAAGTGCGATAGAATTTCAGACCTAAGGCAGCATCTCTGCAAAACCCACGAAGTCGTTTTTAAAACGGAGACACGCACATTCTCCACTTTTGCTGGTAAGGACAAAACGTAAACTAGTAAAAGCAAACCGAAAGTACTGCCGTCGATATAGAATTTTAAATTTCATCACACTCATACCGCAAGGTAATCAAGATCAGGTACACTATAACCATTTCTTTCACACACTCCAAGGATATCCATACGTTTTAGTGCTCTTTCCATCAAGCCATCAAAATGCAAGTAAGTAAATAAGTCCACGGTCGTACAGATTCATCAGGCACGAAATACAAAAATTTAAAAAACCTTAACTACATTTACTGGGTTTTGCTAAATAGAATATTAGAATTATTCAATCAAGTATATACGAAAAAAAAGCCTGTTTTCCATGAATGCCGTGCCTTACTTGATATTATAATAGCTGTGCAAAAGTGACTTGAGATTACTTTGGGATTCTGCTTGCCTTAAAGTTTCAGAAGGACTATTCCACAGAACAGCGCCACTGTAGCGAAAACTATTACGGAGATAATTAGTGCGTGGCTGTGGAATAGTTAATTTATTTACAGAATCTCGAAAAGTGTATGAAGTGGTTTTGGATCGAGCAATAAATTTCGAATTTAGGTCCTCATAATAGCTGTGCAAAAGTGACTTGAGATTACTTTGGGATTCTGCTTGCCTTAAAGTTTCAGAAGGACTATTCCACAGAACAGCGCCACTGTAGCGAAAACTATTACGGAGATAATTAGTGCCTGGCTGTGGAATAGTTAATTTATTTACAGAATCTCGAAAAGTGTATGAAGTGGTTTTGGATCGAGCAATAAATTTCTAATTTAGGTACTCAGGAGCAAGGCCATTAAGGAATTTAAAAACCGTTAAGGCTTTTTGGATATCATGCTAAGTACTAAGATTTTTCCAATTTAATTCGTAACAGCTTGAGAAAGTTAGAGCTCGCTCTGCACGATTTTGGAGTTTTTGAAGTTTGTCTGCTAGTTTTATGCCACAGCTTCCCCAAACAACATTGCAATAGTCGAAATGCGGCTGAATCAAGGCTTTGTAGATAAGATGCAGTGTTGCTGGGGGAACAAATTGCCTCACCCGTTCGATAGCTGCAATACCAGAGGCAATTTTGTTTAGCCAACTTCTTGATATGACTGCCCCAGGTAAGGTTTGCATCAGTGAGTACACCTAGAGATTTTGATGTTGATAGTTGGTTTACGGGAGTACCACTGATGCTCCGAACGGGAGAGGCAGGCGTTTAGCTTTTGTCTCGAGCCGATTAGCATAAATTCATTTTTAGTCATGTTAAGTGTGAGTTTGTTAGCAATCAGCCATTTGCTGATATTTAGCAAGTCTTCATTCAAACAGGACTGAATGATATTCCAATCTTTATCAGCGTAGGTAATATGCGTGTCATCGGCATACATTCTAGGATAGGAGTTAGTTAAGCAATTTGGTAAGTCGTTTATGTATAGCAAAAACAATAGAGGACCCAATTTAGTCCCTTTAGGGTTACCACATTGGAGAGGGCAGGTTTTGGAAAGTGAACCACTAACAGAACATATTTGAGTTCGGTTTTCTAAGTATGATTTAAACCAATTGTAAGCATTTTTTTAATTCCGTAGGTACTTAATTTAGACAGTAATATCGTGCAGTCTACTGTATCAAAGGCCTTTTTAAAATCTAGAAATACTACAGCAGCTAAATAAGACGCAAGGGGGGCTTTCATGAAACAAGGTTACGACCGGGAAGCTGCAGGACTATGATCACATAATGCAGAAACAAGTGGCCGCTGGAATTATGGAACCTGTACCCCCTCATCAAACGGGCAAGGTAGTGCACTACATTCTCCACCGGGCAGTCATTCCAGAGCAAGCAAAAACGACCAAGATGAGAATTGTCTACGGTTGTTCACCAAGGGCCAACACCCAGACCCCCTCTCTCAATGATTGTTTGGAGACCGCCACTACAGCTGCTCCTATTTGACATTCTTCTCTGGAACCGGATGCGGAAACACTGTGTCACCGGAGACATTCAGAAAGCATTTCTCCAAATTCGGGTACACAAACAAAACAGAGACGCACAGCAGGTCCTATGGTACCACAACCTAACGGACAGAAACAAAGCAGAGTACCGTTTCATGTGAGTGATATTTGGAGCCACGTCGAGCCTGTACATCTTTGGGGCGACTGCAGAAGCTCATCAAGGTTATGACAGAGAGTTCAAGGCCGTAGCGCAAGTGCTTTTAGAAGACACCTACGTTCATGAAATTCAGGGGGGGGCGATGTGGAAGAAGGCTCGGCTACATTTAAAGAAGAGGCTTCCAATATAATGTCAGAGGGCAGTTTCGCCCTACACAAATGGCACAGTAACGTGGAACTATTAAATTCAGTTGAGAAAGGGACAGAAGGAGAAGAGACATATGCCAAGAGTCAGGTAGGAAACAGAGGAAACAAGGAGCACGACACGCTGAGTATTGACTTCAAAACTTGCTTAAAGGTGGACAAGCCTCTAACAAAGAGGAAAATGATCTCAGTCATTAACAGCATTTATAACGTACTAGGATGGAACTCTCCAGTCACTATCACTGCCACAAGAAAGAACATACTTGAAGATTAGAGCCCCCAGCCAAGTGTAAGAAGTTGTTTCCAATTGAAGTCACAGGAATAAATGAGGACTAGAAATTTTCTACTGCTCTGGGTCCTAACTTAATTCTACTTTCATGTGCAAAGTGGAAAGTCATTGGTAAGAAAAAAGATGCAGCCGTTCCAATTGTGAACAAGAGCACCATTAAAGATTATCAAAAAGCTAAGTATGCTAGGGGAAAGGGCGGTATAGAGAGGTCTGCTGATTATTCTTTTCGATAAGAATAATGTCTGTAAAAGCTGCAGAGTCAAACGAACATTCATCTTCGATCTGAGCTAGTGGTTGATAGAGTTTCCTACCGTTCATTCATCTGCCAGCGAGTCAATTTTTATTGCTTTACAGTATCATTGTGGCCTCTAGAAGGTGTATTAAAAAGCTTTCGTATTGATTTAACGTTGTGAATCTTGGATATTGTCGTGTGCTTTTTAAACCTGCTGTGTGAAAATTTAGCAAAGTGCAGCGAAGCAAATTCGTTTTGTGTCGCCTGTCGATCCAAAGAGACAAACAAGTTTTTTACCGCCAAAGAGCGTATGTTCAGTTATCTGCCGGTTAGTAAATTTGTATTGTTTTGTCGTGTCATTTTGACCTCTAGATCATAGAAGGTGTATTAAAGAGCTTTAGTATTGATTTAACGTTTAAAGTTATCGTGTGATTTTCAAACCAGCTGTGATCCACTTCAGTCAAGTTCACAACCTGTCAGTTTATCAAATATCGGCAGTTTTGCCACAGTCCAACCTTTGACTCAAATATTGGCACAGTTTTGCCACAGTTAAAACCTTAAACCATTCTGTTCTCCATGAAACAAGTGAATTGAATTAATACAACCTCCCAAGGCAGGCTGAGTGCTTTATAGAGAGTGTGTCTGAGGATTCATGGAAAAGTTATTTACAATTAATGGCCACACCAGACAGCTTTTGTGTGTTGTTGTTGTTGCTATTTCTTTTTTTTTTTTTTGCAATTGTGATAATAAACAAAGCAATTTCATTAATTTTTGACTTGATGAATTTCCTTCACAGTGCTTTCAAATCCATTATTATTTAAGGACTTTAACCATACTTTACCTTGGATGGCAGAGCCTGTGTGTGTACAGAAAACACATTTTACCAACTCTTTTGAGCTCCAATTCACGATGTTATACCTTTCTGTCTTAGGAAAAAGATGTCTTCGAGCCCTTCAAAACGAAAAGGTACTGTACTCAATCAGTAAGTCTGATTTTCTTTAGCAATAAAATCAAAGCACTCAGTGGTTTTCCGCATGCATTGTGATCCCACTTTTTTCTTTTCCCTCCGACTCCAACTGTCTACTTCTTGGTTCCAAGCAGAATCACAGTGTCTTTTTTCCCTAAATCAAAAGTGCTCAGCTTTCTGGCTGCAATTCCCGACAATCACCCGAAGAAAGCAGTACTTAAAGTGGACCCTCAAAGACAAGCTGGATTCTCTGTTAACTGTGCAACAGAGTGGAACAAGTGATGGCAGGAAGGAACTCAAAACAGCTGGTGCATTATTCACAAAGAAAGGAGGGGACAAGAGATGCGCATTTTGCCTTGGAGGCCACCTCCCAGTGGATTGCAAGAAAGTGCAAGACATAGGAGAATGTAAGAAACTTTAACTTAACTACGGTAGATGTTTCAGTTGTATCGAAAAGATCCATCGCAGCCATCACTGCAGCATAACAGTAGAGTGTAAAGTGTGTAATGGGCAAGATAGTTGCCCATTGGGCAAGTGAATTTAAAAGTTTCTATCCGCGGAAGAAAATCTGCCGGTCCCTGACGACTGGACAGAGCCTCTTTGTGGCAGTCGGGTTCCAGCACAGGAGGTTTATGTTGAGCCGGAAATCTCATGCATAAGCAAAGAGTATCTTTATATAAAACAATTCTTCATTGGGGTGTTAACAGTGTTAAAAAAATCAATTGTGGCAGCATCTGGCCTGGTGCAAGGTGTCTTCCAGACAAAAAGAACGTGAAGAAATGTATACTTTTCTCCCGGAGTAATTCTAGTAATTTTGTCAAATACTTATTTACGTTGATTTTATACATAGAAGCAGACACAAGCAAAAGACACAGAGGGGCAGCACAGTGACAAACGTGGGAAACGTGGTCATTACCGCAGAGAACGTCCCCACCAACCACCGAAAAGAAAAAGAGCAACTTTTTATCAGGTTCATGTTGTTGTTGTTTCTTAAAATATATAGAAAAATAAAAAGAGTAACTATCTATGCCTTTGAATGAGTAATTGCCTGGCAACAATGAGTTCACTTGGTGAGTGAATGATACCCCCGACATAGGTGACGATATAGTGATCACGTGATTACTATATCTTCATCTATAATCTGGGTAATACCGCTATAGAGAGCGGGGGGACCAGGAAACCTTCTCGAAATCGAAATAAAATAAATAATTTTATAGAAAGTGTGTTGTCCTTTTTTTTTTATTTAGGAGGAACACAAAACAATCTGAAAAATTCTGTCATGCAATGATAGAACGAGAGCTGACATTGGAGGATCAAAAAGTAAAGTCGCTAAGTATGAGCTGATGATAAGCCAAGCTAGCTAGCAACTTAAATCTTGAATTGGGGAGGTGGGTGAAGGACTTCTTAGCGACAGTCAGATAAGAATTTGTGCCAGCTAGTGCACGGACTGTTTTCATGAGAACTTGGCGTATGCTTCCCAATCGGCGGACTTAAATTCTTGTTATGTTAATGAAATAGCTCAATTTCTGAAGGAGAAAAGAAATACAAGAATACACAAAACATGTTGCTTGATGAATGTTTTTGAGTAGGATCTGCAAGAAAAACATCTCTTCATATCCTGAAAGCGTGCCGGGAGATAGGCCAAAGTTTAGAACCAAGTCTATGAGCAGGTTGAGGACTTAGAAATGTTATGAAAAGTGTAACACTTATTGAATTCGACTTTCGTATGATGTCCGAGGCTGTTGTCAATCTCACCCTTGATATGCATAATTCTTCACATCACACGAAGCTTCATTCAATAACTGCTAAGTATTTTAATTTTTTTTAATGTTTCGCTATACGTGACCTTATGATAGGAGTAAAACAGAACACACTGTGACAGGGGAAGTTAGCTTTTATACCCGTTATCAGGGAGCTTAGGCATCGACGACGAAAGACAAGACGACGACGGGCGGAAGTAAATTCGTGATGTTTAAATGAATTGCGCATGTCAGTCCCAGTCAAACCGTCGTCGTGCATACGTCAACGACAGAATTTTAAGTGAGTTGGCGCCCTCCCGAAAACGTGAGTAATTTAACCGGTTTAAACTCACGAAAACTTGGTGTATACCCTGGATTTATTTTGTATGAATTATTTGATTGCTTATTGGTTGGTAAAGCCTGTTTTTATCGGATTTTGTTACTTCTAACTTATTCTGAGGAAATCCAACATGGCTTCTTTGCAAGACATTACGAAGAAAGGGTAAGTATCAGGGCTTTTTAGATGCCATTCCTCGGTACTTTGCCAATAACTTACATCAGCTATTGGTGAAGCAAATTGTTGCTCAAGGTTGTTAAAAATTTGATCCTTAAGTTCTATTTTTCTATCATCGAACAGGAACAAATATTTTCAGTGGTAAACAGAGCACGATGTCATCATGTGTCGTGAAGTTCTTGTCTCGGAAGCGTTTAACTTCAAACCGAAGAGCCCAGAAAGGGGAAAGGTTTGGGAAGCTACTGCCCAGCGGCTGAATGCCATTGACCAGAGCTGTCCGTCACAGGTACTCTCTCTTGACTACAAAGCAAGCCCAAAACTTGAGGGACCAGGAGAAAGCGTCAGGAATTCATGTGGAAATATCAGAACTGGATACTTTGCTTGAAGAAATTTTAGAGAGAGAAAAGGATGGTAAAGCTAAAATTGAGTCGCAGGATCTTGACAAAAATAAAAAGGCAGGAAAGGAAAAGACAACAGCAGAAGAAGCGAGGAAACAAGCAATGGAAAGAATGGCTGATACTAAAAAAAGGGAGAATGATGAATCGGATAGTGGCAATGGAAGGAAGAAGGTAAGAAGAAGCACAAGTGATACAATTGATTTTCTAAAGGAAAAATCAGCAAAAGATCATGATTTGAAAGAAAAGGACATTGAACTGAGGAAAAGGGAATTGGAACTTGCTGCAGATAAACACACTCAAGCTGCCCAGCAACAAAACAGTATGATGCGTGCTTTCACGAGTCAAATGCAGGAGCAACAACAAAGCTTGCAAGCAATGCTTATTACACAGCAGCAACAGCAGAACAAAATCTTGATGGCTTTAATGGAGAATAAGAAAAAGGAATGATTGTTCCAGTGTAACACCTGTTAATGGCACCATCAAAGGATGTTGAGTTCTTATACTTTGTGAATATGTTATGTTTGAATTGTAAAGCCTGGCAGGCACAAAAAGGGGAGAGAAAGGGGGGATGTAAAAGAAAAAAGGGAGAGGCACACCTGGTACAAGAACCCATTTTTTGCATTGTGCCTAACAAATTTTCTGTGGTCTGATTACATTGACGGTCAATTAACTGTCAACACATTCACCAATAAGAACAAGGTTTTGCACACACCTTGGTTATTTTATTTTTGTTTACCAAAAATCGATGAATACTGCAAAATCCCAATGACAAGCCCTATAGGCCTATACAATGTTTTATAAACAGGGCTGGGTGGGGGTGTTGGAAATCTGACCTCGGAATAATTATGACTTGGTGTGAAAATGTTAATTATGGGTTTCAGCAAATCAGAATTTTTCGACTGCAGAAATGAACAGGAGGTAGTTCTTATGGCAGGTGTACCTTTCCTCTCCCTATCTGCTCTTCCTTTTCCTTGCCCTCCCACTTTCATTTCGACACCTGTTTTGCAGGCTTCAAGAAAAGGTAAAACTTTAACAGTTTAAATCAAAGAAGTCAAAGGCACAAGGTGAGAAGCAGCAAGCAAAACAGACAGGGGCCACAGAATCAGAATGTTGTGCTACTTGCCAAAAAGAAGAACCCTCTGGTTTTGTAGATGACTCAGTTGTGCCAGTTGGAACCACATGATTTGCGTAGGTTAAGTGGTGACTGGCAATGTTCAGGCTGTGTTGAATCCTGGGAGTGACTTGTCTGTCTAAATACCGCAATCAGAACAGCTTTGGCCAAGTTAGATTTCTTCACAACAGAGACATTAAATTCGTTTTCTTTACTACTTTTTTGGCGTGATGTAGATCACACGTCACGTCTAAAAAAGCACGTTGGTTAAATTTAATCAAGTTTGTGAGGTTCCTATTAAGAATGGGACACTTTTTATATCAAGAATAGTGATCTATCATCAGTTTAGATTCATTCGTATTGTTACTTTTATGGAAGTGGTGTATATGTAGATCACACATAATGTTTTCTGATAATGAAAAGTCCAGTTGTCTCTTGAAATCAAGTTTGAGAAATTCACAGTTGAAGTCTCGAGTTTAGAGCAAACTGCTTATCTGTAGCTAGGTGCATGGTATACGGGAAGAAAAAATGGCGCTCACTTGCAGTTCATATCTACAGTTGGAAAATACATTTCTTTTGCTATAATTGCTATTAGAATTTTGAACAAATTGGCAAACCATTTTAACGTGACATAATGGCTTTCAGGTTTTGGCAGCACTCCGATACTATGCCATCGGAAGTTTCTTGAAGGTTATTGGTGACACATTGGGAATCTCAAAGGCAAGCATCAGTAGGTCGCTGATGTCTGTTTCACATTGTCTGGCAAATTTTGCTCCAGAATGGATCACATTCCCCACATCAACAGTGGAGATAAGTGTAAGAGTCTATTGGTGACATTTTAATAGGGGTAATTTCAGAAAATTTCCATAGCCTACCAAGGGTGGCATCATTTCTGCTTATGAAAATACAACTAATCAGCAATAAAGGAATCTCTCCCAGTCTTTACCAGTTTTGAATCCCCCACCCTGCTCCCCCCTCCCATTGTAGAGTATGCATATTTTCTCGAATTTTCCATTCCATTGTTGTACAGTGCTATTGATTCTAGTAAACCTTGTAGGTCGACTTATAGCGGTTACCCAGAAAGAGGTACATGGGGTTTGAACCTAGTGTCCTATTTTTTTATTTCTTTCAGAAAACTACAGCTGATTTCTACAGCATAGCTGGTCTTCCGAGGGTGATTGGAGCAATTGATGGCTCATTAATTGCAATTAAGGGTCCAGACAATGAGGAGCACCTGTATGTCTGCCACAAGGGCTTTCATGCGATTAATGTTATGGCAGTGTGCAATGCACAACTGTTACTTACAAATGTTGTGAGTAAATGGCACGGTTCTGTTTATGATTCAGCAGTTTTTCACTCAAGTGCCTTGCAAGTGCACATGGAAAATGACGGGGGTAGAAATGGGTGGCTCTTAGGAGACAGAAGTTATGGCATTCAGCCATACCTGATGACCCCATTTTGCCCAGTTGATGTTTCCACAGCGGGTCAGGCCAAATACCAGAAGGCCCATACCAAAACAAGAAACACCATCGAGAGGGCCCTTGGCCTATGCAAGACAAGGTTTAGATGTTTAGATGTTTCTGGTGGATCACTACAGTTCAAACCAAGTAACTGTTGTACTATCATAACAGCAACTGCAGTTTTGCACAATATGTGGATTGTTGACAATATGGCACTGCCAGTCAACACTGACTACCCACCACAGCAAAACACGGCCTTTGCAGATCCATGTGAACTCATCCCTGACAATAATGCAGTTGGATTATCAGTCAGGAGTGAACTTATAAATAATGTGGTCAGTTAAGGTTATTTTCTAATTTAATCAAGTCAAAATATTATTGTAGGACAAAATTGGACTTTCCTTTTTTATGCAAATAAACTGTTATTTGGTAAGAGAGTGTGGCTTTACATCAATCGACCATACTAATTTGCCAAGAAAACAAAACCTGAAGGTTTATGGTAATTATAAAAAATATCCTAACAAATATCCTCCTTGATCATTGAATGTTTCATGCTAAACAGGGTGCAACACTGAAGGGCTTCGCACTAAACGGCTTGCTGGCATGGTCGAACTTCATTTCCACACTCGATACAAGGATACAGGCTCATGTTATAATTGTATAAGTGAAAAATACTTTCGGTTCAATAAAGTTTTCCTTTGTTTAATTTAATTCCAGTTTTTTCGTCACAATAGTTTTTCGGTTTCCGTCTTTAAATGGCTAGTTTTTTGTTTAAACTGAAAGAGGACAGTTTGCAAATGGTTCTAATTGTTCATCATAAGGTTGTGTTCACACCTGCGTTTCATTTGATGCATATTAAGCACATGTTAGCATTAAAAGACATTTTTTCTGTATAAATTATTTACAAGAGTTGGTTTTTCAGTCTATGTGTTGCCCAGTTTCCACTGTTATATGTCTAGTCATGATGACTGGTTGCTCTCCTTTGAAACAACGACGACCTCAAAGTTAAACTTAGAACGTGTTCCGTTGTCCTTCGAATCGAAATGCAAAAAAAAAACAGTCCACTCGCACAAGGTGAATGATTCGAATGAAATAGAGTTCCAACTCGTTCTCTTTCTCCAGCGGACGACCGTGAAGTGCCCGCGCAAGAGTCTGGTAACGGCCCACTATTTTTTCGGACCCGGTAAGTACTGGGAAAGTTGACGTGTGCTTCGAGAAACACAACTTCGGGCCTGATAAAAGTCCCCGTAAGTTAACGGGCCCGTCAATTACCGGGACTTTTGAGAAACGGTCCCCAGGTCCCAAAATCACTCATCCCTTATTCAATTAATTATAGACAAGAGGAAAGTTCTTTCAAAGTATTCTTCATGACCCCAAGTCTTTTGCTTTTTCATTAGGAACAAGATTTGTTTTCCTTGGCCTCTGGCGACAATGAAACTTTCCAAAAAGCAAGAATAAATAACAAAAACAATGTCCACTAAAGCCAGCCATAATGAAGTTGCCAAAGCAGGATTATCAAGCTTAAGAGAAACTACAAACACTACAAGCTGCAGCGTGGATTTTTGTGCATGCTTTTGGGGCCCATGATTGCTATAAAAATAAAGATGCCTCAAACTCGAACGACTTGTCGGTATCACGTCTGAATTTAATTCACACATTCATTGTGCACCTCTTTTTTGATAATAATCTGAGACACTTTTAAGATCTTAAAGGTAAATCTTACATATCAGCAAACCATGTCCATTTGATTCATCAGTTATACACTTTTATCATTAAGTTTTGTTTTAAAATGTCCGTTGGCTTTCACTGGCTAATAGTTTGATACTTTTTATAATTAATCCTATACATCAAGAACATTGAAAAGTGCAAAGTTTGGGAGACCAACCGCTCAGACAAAAAAAAAGCCTTCTGCCTCTACAAAAACTACCGAGAAATCTGCAGGCAACGTGGGTGCAGCAGCCAAAAAGGGAAAGATAGCAGGTAAGATCACTAGAAGTTTCTTCATTTTGTTACTCTCTACAGCCTTCTATATTCTTGTACTTTTGTGTTATTCACTGCAAAAACTGGAAACGTGTCACTGATACGAGCAAGAGATAGGACACTAACTCACCAGCCCGCCAATGCTGCCCATTAAGGATGATTCTTCCTTCTTTTGTCAGTCATTGCAAGCATGTGCACATTGAAGAATAAAATGATTTTTACTTTTTAATATTGTTTAACGTAGTGAGTTTTGTAGAATAATGAGTCATTAAATCAAATTATTTTCTTCATATTGAAGACAGAACAGGTTTTCTTAGCAGTGACGCTTTGCAGCATAATTTAGTCTATTTATAAATTATACTCTTTATGGGGTAATAATAACAATTGTGAGTTAGTGTTATGTTCATTATTCCTGAAGGCTACTCAGCAGTGCACAGTGGTACCAAGAAAAACCACGTGGTTAATGGACCTCCAAGAGCAACAAATGTTAACTGTATTTTACAGTGGTTACCCATCCCCTGAAAGAGCAAATTGAAAGATTATGTGGCTGCAAGATCTCCAAATATAATGAAAGGAGTAGGTGCAGTGAAAGAAACAGCGGTAACACGGAATGATATAAAAAGGTGTCCTTCCTCCTCCCGGTTTTACTCCAAGTACCAGAGGTTTTGAAGACAACACATGCACAGTTCATTGTAATGATGATTACAAACTGAGAGGAATACACCAATTGGCATTGTTAACACCAATGCCACAGTTAGTTCCCTCAGCGGTATAATAATTATAACTTGGAATTAGAAACTCCTTTTGAAAGATCACTGAAAATAGCAACAACATTGCAATTTTGTTGCCTTGATGGGACTGTGCCCAGTCAGTCCCTAAGGAAGTGAGCAAAACTG